GTGCTCTACTCGCGGCTGCACCTGCTGATGCACACGGCCAACGTGCTCAGGGGCATCAAATACGTCCTCATCTTCAACTCGGTCGTGTTTTCCATACCAACCATGGTGATTGGCACCATAGCAGTGAGTAGCGAAACCAAAGGACATCCGTCGTCAGGCAAAAATCACCGACTAACACGGGACCCTTCTTCCCCCCCGCCTAGCAAGCCACGTCCATCAACCCCAACCTCCCAGCCTTCAACCTCATCTGGGACCGGATCCAGCTCGTCGTCTTCTTCGTGCAGGAGGCGGCCCTCAGCATCCTCTACATGTTCCAGACGCGCAAGTACCTGCGCGGGCGGGCGCCGCTCACGGAGCACGCGTGGTCGTCGTCGTCGGCCGGGCCGGCCGCGCGCCCCCAGCAGACCAAGGAGCAAAAGGCGGTGCTGTGGCAGCTCGTCTACGCAAACGCCGTCATCCTCGCCCTCGACGTGGTCCTGCTCGGCATCCAGTGCGCCAACATGTTCCACCTGCAGGGCGCCTTCAAGCCCTGCGTCTACGGCATCAAGCTCAAGCTCGAGTTCGTCATCCTCAACCGCCTCATCCAGACCATCCGCAAGCCCGCCAGCACGGGGCTGTATCTCGGCACCGGGCCCGACAGCTCCGCCCGCAGCCGCCAGTCGCGGCACAACAGCCTGTGGCACAAGAAGCCCGCCGCCGCCGTCCTCGAGCCGCACGAGGACAACGACGCCGTCCAGCTGGTGGATAATCTGTCCGCGACGGCCTTTGCCTCGCGCAGCCGGGAGAGCCAGGCGCCGGCGGCGTATCCCGGGGGCATCAGGTGACGGCTGACGGGGAGTTTTGGGGGGGGCATGGGAAACCTTGTTTATTATCAATCATGTTTTACCGGGGGAAAGAGATGTATAGACGCGCCTGTATAGGGGCCCTTTGACGAGCACCATGTACCATCATCATATCATGCGTATACATATCCGAGACATGCTGCTTGAGAAACCAAAGACGTGACGCGGCGTCATCAGGCGGGCTAATTGGTCGCTAGTGGACAATGGGACAAACAAATCGAGTCTATATCTCTATTACTCTCGTCTATGTCGTCATTCAGCATTATCCCGCGCCAAGCATGAGCAGGCTTACACATGCGCAATAAGTCCGCCACGACCATCAAAAACACCATTTAAATGGCACAAACAAATCGAGTCTATATCTCTATTACTCTCGTCTATGTCGTCATTCAGCATTATCCCGCGCCAAGCATGAGCGGGCTTACACACGCGCAACGAGTCCGCCGCCACCATTAAAAACACCGTTGACCATTTATTACCGTCCGCCACGGATTGACCTAGCAGAGCGCTTGCGCTTCTTTTGCTTACAGCAACCCTTTGGCACAAAGTCCGGCTTCTCCAGAATTGTTCCGTCTGGCGAAAATCCCGGCGCCACTAGCAAATTCGCCCTCGTCAGCTTCTATTCACACGCACAGCTCACATATACATCGTCAAGTATTCTGATACGTACTCGTGGTCCCGACCAGCGTCCAGTCGCCGTGGGAGCGGGCGCTCTGCCACATGTCCTTGGGCACGACAACCTGCGGCCTCTCCTCGACCCTCTTGTTGAAGACGTTGGGCCCGAGGACGTGCCTCTCGCACGCGGTACCGTTGTTCCACGACAGCGAGAGCGTCAGCGGCGCGCCGGCGTAGTAGTGCCACACCTCGTACGCGTCGAGCTTGTGCCAGACGGACTCGCCCGCGTCGCCCTCGAGCAGGTAGTAGATGAGGGTGCTGATGGTGCGGTTGTCCTCCGTGCGCACGGGGTCCTCGAACGTCTGGATGAAGTAGCCCTTTTCGGGGTTGGGCACGAGCCCGAGCTTTTTGACGACCTGCTGCGCGCTGTAGTCTTGCTCGTCGATCGGCTCCCAGTCCCAGGCCAGGAGGCCGGTGGGCAGGACCGCGAGGGCCGCCAGCGTCGTGTACACGTGGTGGAGGAGCATCGTGGCCTGCTGTCAGTGAGGTCTTGGATAGCTTGGCCTTTTTTTTTTTTTGTTTGGTTTCGTCTGGTATATAGAAAAAAAAAAAAGCCGAAGTGAGCTGAGACACGAGGTGTTTGAGGTTGGACGGGTTCGGGGTATTTTATGCGTCAACCGGCGATGGGATGTTTTCCGTAAGCGCCACAGAGTGGTAATGGAAGATTCGAATCTTTGGGGCACGAGGAGCCAAGGTCTGTGTGTTCCCCCCCTCTACATATCATTTGTCCTTAATAGCGCAATTCCGCGGTGCAGGGTCCCCCGGTGTCAGCTTGGGGGGGGACAGGGTTACGGTTGCCCAATCGGCCAACTACTGCTACGCTGGATAACTTAATGTTGCCTTTTTTTTTGTCCGCCGCGGACACTAATAAACCTACGACAATGCTGGCTGGAACGGGTCAAGTATTTCGCTTTTTCGAGAAAAACGCTAGAAAGCGAGGCCAGCGCCTCTTCATCATGGCCCGTCCCGAAGCCTCTCCTCCTCCAGATCGGCAGTCTGCGTGATAGTACTTCATACACGGCAACTCGGATCGCACTTTTATTGAGCACAGAGCTTTTCCCCTCACGATAAGCGAGGTGCTATAGTTTGTACGGGGAGAGTTGGCAAAGACGTTCTGGGCTCGTAACCCGGGGCCACTTGGTGTCTGGGCAAACTGGACCAACTTGATGGCCATGGAGAGCCTTCCATTTCAGCAGCGTCTACTAGCCTTATTACTTGGAGCCTTACTCCGTACTCCGTAGGTGAAGACGAATTGCATTATTCATTGACAAGCGCCCTCTTGACTGATTGCGGCTTTCTCTTCATGGGGCAGATGAATGTGCTATAGGATGTTATGCCGACAGACGCCGAGTAAACCAATATAATTCCCAAGGCCCCAATGGACGGATCCAACATACGTTATGCAGCAATCAGGTCAAGTCCCCAGCTACAGGGACAATAGCGCAGCACATCCCGGCATGTGCATGAACCCCAATAGCAGTCTGTGGGCACATCCATTGATAGAGTTTGCACCTTGCCCCAACGGCACAGAGTCAGCCAACTCGGCCCAGGATCAGGCTGCAGCTCCGGCCAAAAGTGGACATGTACAGCCCGTAAGAGGACCGCTGATTTGTGCAAAAAGGCCATCTTACCACCGTCTTGGCCAGAAGGGTACAATATAGCCAGGGGGTTGTGTGAAGGAGCGCAACGATGGATCTGGCATGTCTCAGTTCTGCGACCGGTAGGTTTCCTTTGTTTGGAATAGTATACATATACTCGGTATGTACAATACAATAGCTAGTCGTGTGCTCACGTCGGCCCTTGACAGTCAAATAGACCAGATGACGAAGACCAGTGGCCATGAGCAAGCATTGGCTTAATCGCAAATGGCATACCGGAAAGGACTAGAAATTATGTCATGCGCCGTCTATGACTCGAGCGTGCATGTGGCTATTAACCTGCTTGCATAGAACTAGTAGTTGGCGACTGAGTCGTACAGGAAGCTTGGCAGATGCTGGAAACATGTACGCGGTCGCCATGGGATGACTTGACGCCATAGATGGAGGACCAGACATGGAATGAACAGCGGGCCAAGGCGCGGTAGTTCCACCTCTTGTGGTTTCGTGCCTTTCTCCCAGATTGCCTTTGATGCATATTACTGTCTACCGCCAGATCGCGGCAGCGTCTTCTCCAGCTAGGCACATCACGTCACGTCCAAACGCTACCCTGCGAAACAGCACCAGCAAATCGGGTTGGTAATAGTCAAGACTTGCCCGGGCTATAAGTGAAGACTTGTCGGAGCATCGAGGCCTCTTCTGCCACCGGAATTGTATCATCTCTCTCGCGTTCAAGACTCTCGCGGCCAAACAGCCAGGGATCTGAAAGCTACTCACAACGTTCATGCAGGGCATCTTCATTTCCACCGGGCCGGTGGACAATATCCAGCGAAATTTCGACATCATCGGGGTCCACTCACTGTTGACTGTCGTGCTCGTAGCTTCGTCCGAGTTTCCAACTATCATGTCATGTCATGACCGCCTCATTTCACTTCCCACCATGATTCACCGCTATTCCAAGACTTTGGGAATATTCAACACGTGCGCCCTTTTTGCACACCTCGTCAATTTCATTGAACAGCCTGCCGCGGGAAGCGCAGTCTATCATGACAACTTCCTGCTGTCATGCCACCTGCCCTTGCCCGAGAAGCTTCAAGCGTAGTACAACCACCCTGTCTTCGTACATGGTTCTCATGTACAACTTTTGCAATAATCTGGGTGCGCCTGGGTGTGCATGTGGTTTCATTCAATATCATGTGTTTGGGCGTATTTCTGCCACGGTCCGAGGCTCAAGTTGTCCCGACCAAGCAGGGCACTCTTCCCACGGACGGATTCTGCGTACGCGGCAAACTCGCGAAGAAGAAAATATCCAGAGGTGAACGTTTTACAGGTATTCGTTGTAGTTAGTTCTTTTCCCGAATCAGGTTATCGCTAGAAAGAGGGTTTAAACGTGACCGCTTCGTGGTTCTTGCCGGTGCAACCAGACCTCACCTCTGGCATGTCAGACCAGATTCATTTCTTCATCTAGGGTAGGTTGAAAGCTGCAAGTGTATAGGCAGGCCATCAACGAACAAGCAGCAACATCCCAGCTACGGGCGTATCAGGGTGACATTTAAACAAGCTAGATGAGATACTTGGGAACAAGCCCAGCATGCAACTTTAGCAAACACGACTTGTTCAGCTTGCTACCAACGGCTGGCTGTGCAAATTACGCAACAAGACCAAAGTGAGCGGCCAAGGCTACATATATCCGCCAGTCATGTCCATCCATCGAGTCTATTGGTTTTCCGCCACCCTGTATCTAGAAGAGCGTACGGCTTCCCAGATGAATGGGTGATTGTGTCCTGCGTACGGAGTACACGTCTGCCGGCAAGTCTGCCCGTGTGTTGCCCCCCTGCGGTCTTGTGGTTGCCAACAGCTATTCGCATTTCGAGACGGTCCTCCATGCTCACCGTCGCCCCCCATCCTCAAGAATCATGTGCGCGCCCTTCTCAGCAATAGCATAGACAGTCGCCTGCAGATGCGCGCTAATCTGCAACGGCATCACGCTCGCGTCCACGACTCTCAGCCCCTTGACGCCATATACCCTCAATCGCTCGTCGACCACGCCTCCCTTGATGCCTGCTCTTCCGCCCATGCCGCACGTCCCAACCGGGTGCCAATCCGTAATAGTGTGTTGCCTCACCCAGTCTCGCAGCCGAGCATCGTCAGCCACAATCTCGGGCGTGGGATGTGCGGCGGCACGAATGATGCCGGCCAACGGCTGCGTTTGGGCAATCTTCTGTCCCAAGTGGATGCACTCCTTGATGATTTCGGCGTCAAGCTGCCCGTGTCGGCCGGCGTAGTATGCCGGGTCGATGATGGGCTTTGTGTCCCCCGTGGAGCTCTGACCCGGGCGGATGTGGATTGACCCTACGGAAAACGGGTGCTGAAGCATCTGGAGCATGGTGCCGTATTTCTTGCCAGCGTCCCCTTTGAACGTGGTGCTCCAGTTGCCCAGGTCAAAGATGTACTCTACTTGACCGAGGGTTGATGTGCCGTCAAGACGTCTTCGAAGGATGGCGCGTTTTCCGTCATCGTAAGCTGTAATGTTGGCAGATTTGGTGTGAATTTCGGCCAGGAAGTGTGGCGGGACGGCGTGAGAGAAGGGAATGTATGCGAGCGCGCATGGGAGAACGGTGAAGGGGCCTCTCTGCTCGCGGAGGTACTGCTCCCGCGCGGCGGCGATGACAGCCTCATCCGTTAAAAGATCATCAGGGTTTGATAGCGAGGGGTCTACCTCGAATATCATGGCCACCACTGCCATCATGTCAATATTTTCCTGCCGGGCATCCGGGACGCAGGAAACTCACTGATGTGGTCTTGCAAGTTCTCTCCGACCATTGGGCTGTCCACCTTCACTTGAACACCGGCCTTTTTCAAGACCTCGGTGCTTCCAATTCCAGACATTTCCAGAATTTGAGGAGACTGGACGGTTCCAGCTGACAACACCACCTCCCTTGTCACATTAACCACATGCTGCTTGCCGCCGTGAGAGAAGCGCACTCCGGTCGCTACATAGTCGTCCTCATCGCCGGAGCCATCTTTGCAAAGCACAATCTCGTGCACGGTGGCTCCCGTCAGGATATGCAAGTTATCAGGCTGGTGTGCGAGGTAGTAACTGGTGGAATAGCTTCGGGCAGCTGTTACAGGGTCGACGGTATTCACATTCGTCCACACACCGACATTCGATCCCGACAGGTGGGCGGAATTGGTCTTGATGCCAACAGCATTGAGTGTTGAGTGCCACAGCTTGTGAGAAGCTGAATAGTCGGGAGAGTAAGATATTTGAATGGGACCAGTCGTGCCAAAGGCCTCGGGGTCGTGTGTGGCGATGTATTCCTCCCTGAGTGCTTGAGTTGGCGGGTGGAATGTTTCGGATTTCTTGAAGAATGGGCTGTATTTGACAAGTCAGCTCGCAGGCTATATGCTTAGGTAGCGATGAAGTCATAGCAGCATGAGTCCAATTGTTGAGCACCGACATAAAATTGGGAAGTTGAGGCCCGATAGCCATCATCACCATCTACACCACAGTATTTTCACGACAACTCATGTACCAGGCCACGGAGCCAAACTCACAGTAAATCATTCCAGGCCCATCCTTGATTTCCCAACGCCGCCCAGTCATCATAATCCTCCCTGCCGCCTCGAACCCACGTCATAAAATTCAGGGCGCTTGTTCCCCCCAACACCTTTCCCCTCGGCCACGGCAACCGTCTCCCGCCCAAACCGTCCTGTGGCTCTGTCTCAAAGGCCCAATCCAACGGACCGCCGAGGGAACGGCCGTAGAAAGCGGGGATATCAACATTGTCTTCGCCATGTGCAATGCCGCCCGCTTCTAGGACGCCTACCCTAAGTGAGGCATCCTCTGCCAGTCGAGAGGCAACCGCTAGACCAGCAGTGCCGCCGCCAATGACAATGTAGTCGTAGGAATGGGTGAGGAACGACTCGGGTGAAGAGGATGATTTGATTGGGTTCCCCATTTTGTGGACGGAACTGCGAGGCTGGGTGTGACGATGTTCAAAATCTGTTGCCCGTCAACCTGTCAAGCAAACACTCCTTGGTGGGTTAGTTTGCTTTGGCAGACGATGTCTCGGTTTTTTTTTAATTCACCTCGATTGAGACATGTTGCGCTGTACGGGGCAACAAGAAAACATCGCTCTGCGAGATTAATGAGCGGCTGTTCTGACCTTTTATACTGTCATGCACGCCGTATTGCGTGCGTGTTGACGGCGCGAAACTGGTTCATGAGGAGCCTCCTCTCCACCTACGAGCAAAATGGCCCCCAATTAGAGGTTTGATACCAATTGTGAGGTTACATTGCATTCTTGCACTCCTGTCAGTTGTCTCTTTTTCCACTTGAAGAGGTGCTGTGCAGCGAGTTGCGAATGACCCAGAATCGTTCGATAACACCGGGTTATCAGCAATAGAATTTTGATCGCAACACGTGCCTGTCCGTGCCCAACCGGTCTCACTATATATCAACATGTCCCGTCCATAAATACTGAAAATATGCCGCGCCAGTCGGATGCAGACAAGCCTGGCGACCATACACACCCCATAGGCAGTGAGTGTGTAGGGTAAGTAGCCCTGAGGATGAGAAGAGGGTAAAATCATCGACGGCACGAAGCATTTTCGACCAGAACTGGTACAGCGTCGGGCCTTATGGACGAGCAGTGAGGAAGTTGCTTGCCGCCTGCTTTTCCCGTCAATTGGCCCCGGCAGTGAAGAATGCTGCTTCACCAGGTGAAATTGCCGCCTTGAGACCCTGCATTCGCGAGAAGCTCGGAGGAGCGCTGATCAATGGTTGATTTTGAAACAATTTGCATCATGTTTCTGGTGCGATCGGCAACGACCCTAGCCCCGCCCTTTGAACTCTGCTTAGCCTTTACGGAGTACGTATGTAGTCCAGGGGAGATTGACAACAAAGGCCACGGGATGACAAACTTCATCTTACGAGTCACATAAACCCGCCCATAATACAAGATGCATCCCATTATGCATCCATTGCGTCTCGTCTCTGCTATGCGCAACGGCGAATCCGTTATTGGATGATCTTGCATTATTATTGCTCATCATGCCGGCGCTGAATGATGCCACAGTCGACATCCCTTTGCACCACGTCCCATGCCGAGACAATATATTTGCTTATGCCCATGTGTGAGCATCGTGCGCCTGCATTGGTTTTCAATGCCGATCTCCGTATGGACTGGATGAGAGAAATGAGTAGTAGTCATGATCCTGACATGCCTTCAGTCGTGGCATTGCTCGTTCTCTCTGCCGTCCATGCCCTATGCCTTCAATGACTAATGGCGATGCCTTGTACCAGATTTAAGACTTGCATGAACCTGGTGTTGGGCGTTGCTGGCTGCGCATCGCTGTTTGAGCCTGTTCCCAGTTCCAATGCTCCCCACTACGACGACGAGATCGGCTCCTTCCCTTGCTGTCCACTCTTATCGTTTCCAGAACCGTGCTCCATTGTAGAGAAACGGGCGGCATTTGCCATCTATCCCATCATCCCGGATTATCTGCAAGCTTTGAGGCTATCATTGCCGGTTCCCAACAAGGCTTCGTCAAGGGATGGACCTTTGCTGATACGGGGGAACCTTGCCACCCACCAGAGAAAGCAGCTGCCCATCATGGTCTCGCCATTCTCCCTAGTGTACTGTATGAGTTGCCACCCACCTCCTCTTCCAGGCAGCTCGAAACAGCACGAAAGCTAGTCTCGTGGCCCGCTGTCTAAGACAATTCTGACCAAGTCAATGTGATCTGTCAGCTAATTGCTGCAATGTTTTGAATTTTCCACATTCGAAAGAGGAAAAAATTGTGGCGGAGATGTAATAGTACTGTCAATCTTTGTTTCCTTGTACAACACGGAGTCCCTGCTGTGGTGGTTGAACCTAAATGGTCAGGACGATTATTTGTACGGAGTACTCCGTATCCCGCAATCTAATTCCAATTGCCTGTCGCTGATCTGTTGGTATGTTAGAAACCTGACTCACATCATAATAGAGTTGCCTCGTCTTCCTTGTTCAACTCCAGCATAATGCATTGACATGACAATCAATATCTTGTCTTGGCTACTTTCTTGGCTCCTGCGTATCTTCGGCCTCCGGGCATGTCGCCGAGATTCCGAAGCTGTGTTCAACCTTGTTGATAGCATCTGCGCGCCCGGGGCATGCGAATGCGTTGACTGCTTGCGGACGGGAATAGAAACCGCCACAAAGGCTACGCCTTGTGGCAGATGCGCCTCTTTTGGCGGCGCTTTATAGGGGCACTGGCGAATATAAGTGGACAGCCAGACAGCGACGTTTCCACTGAAAGCTTAAAGGCGCAGCTTTGGACCGAGTCCACCGAGATGTATGGGCGATGGTGATGGCGATGGCACGCGATGGCACGATCCTCGTAAGCCTCCCCCCACTTGGACGCTCTACTTTGTGTAGAGTACCGTACGGAGTACAGTACCGAGTATAACTGCTCGCTGTTGCACTTGATTCCAAGGATGGCCGTACAACACGCCGCAGACGGGCGGCCGAATTACTCAGGAATGGTGCGCTGGATGGTGGGAACGTGAGGCGCCTTACTGAACCTTGTATTCCGTATTCCGTACTCCCAGGTGCCATATTACTCAGTATTCCGTAGCTTTCATGGCGTGCTTGGATCCTTGGGGCGTTCAGCTGGCCGTCCGTCAGCGCCGACGGGACCGAGCGGGACGAAGCGTCACCAAATGGTGAGAGCGATAGACTTTGATGACTATGCTTTGTGCCCCATCCTGTTTGGCATTAGGAACCAGGACCCTCAGACCATACTCCGTGTTGTCTGATGTACTCCTCCAAGCGGACGGCAAGACCGTGATGGGGATCAAAGGGGACTGTCGCAGGCTCCGACCCACTCTCCTGAAGCAAACTGCCGCGACTCGCCGTCGTGTTTCCAGGCCCTTCTGTCTGGGTTTGCGCCCGATGCCATCTCATGCAGAGTGGTGCGAACTGGCGTGGCATGGTGCGAGGTGCCAATGTCTCGGTCCATCAAGGCTCCATTTGCATTGCCAGGAGGCGGCCCCCTTTGGCGCCTTGCTTGTGCCATCCCTGCCCCCCTTCGTAAGCCCGTTTGAGGCCTCAGGCATCAACGGCCAACATGCTTGACGTGGCCTCAAGATAAAGAGGTCGGCCGCCGCACCACTAGTTGTCAACCATTGCTCCGTTCGATCAAGAGAACACTTGTCCTCATCATACATCTGTCAACTCCCCAATCACCTGGCTCACAGGTAATACCCACTCTAGGCTGACTCACTGCCTTTGCCTGTTGCCTGCCATGCCTTTGGCGTATATCTGCCATTGAGGGAACGGGCTGTTTGCTTGCACCATCCACCACCTGCGCTACAAACCTCGCACCATAACAAAGACGTGTCCACATCTGATGTCGTCTTGGACGTGACGAAACGCGATACCACACAGTCAACATGGCGCTCCAGCAAGCATCCCCAGTGGCCAAGTTTGAGGCCTCACCAACCGAGTCCTTCATCTCTCTGCCTGGTGACAACTACTCACCCCTCTTCGCCCCCAGCACTCCCTCATCAACCATCAACCCCATCGACATGATGACCCCTCAGTCCTTTTCAGAAGACAAGCAGACCCCTCAACTGCCTGCCATCAAGGAAGAGTGCGGAGCCAGCCCCTCGCCCGAGGACATCCCTGCATCATCAGAGAAGAAGCAGACAAAGAAGAGGAAATCATGGGGCCAAGTTCTCCCAGAGCCCAAGACAAACCTTCCCCCGAGGTAAGATAGAAGAGCAGAGAGTCACTTCGTACGCAGAACCTAACATGCTGCAACAGGAAGCGAGCCAAGACTGAGGACGAGAAGGAGCAGCGACGTGTCGAGCGTGTTCTTCGGAATCGTCGCGCGGCCCAGTCTTCACGAGAGCGAAAGCGCCTCGAAGTCGAGGCGTTGGAGCATCGCAATAAGGAACTCGAAGCGATGCTCACCACCGCAAAATTGGCCAACTTCGCGTTGCTAGAAGAGCTGAAACAGTTCAGACGCGATACTGGTGTTGTCACTCGATCATCGTCGCCCTTGAACCCGCTCCGTGACGCTCCTCTGTCTCTGTCACCAGAGCTGTTTAGTTCCCAAGATGGCCACAACCCTTTAAAGGATACTGCCAACCTGGTAGACGAACTCATCAACTCGACTGTCAACCCTACGGTCAACCCAGCCTCACTGTCTCCCGCGCTGTCCCCTGTCCCCGATGAGACCCAAACTGATGAAGCCTCAAAGGAGGCGCAGTCCAGCGAACAGGACTTGGCCACCTCTCCCGACCTGACACAACATCCTGCTGAGATGTTGTCAGACCTGCAGTGTCACAAGTCGGCGAAGGTGCCCAAGTCGTTCCAGGACTCGCAGACTCCGATGTCGCCCTACTTGGTATGGGCTCTGCAGCTCCGGATGATGCTGCTTTCAGCCTCGGCGATTCTTTCGGCCTGTCAAAGGCCTCTGACACAGATCGCTATGTCCTCGAAAGCGGGCTTCTCGCTTCTCCCAGCTCCTCAACTCTTGACGACGATTATCTGGCTGGTGACTTTGCCACCGGCTTCTCGGGTCAGTCAACCTTCGACCCCTTCAACATCGACGACTTCCTCAACGACGAGGCCAACCATGTCGCCTCTGACATTATGGCAGCGAGCGACTATGCCGCTGCGGACCACGGCTTCGAGCCCAAAGTCAATGACGCTGAGATTCAAGTCCCTTAAGAAAATCCTATCCAGCAGCCCCAATCTGGCGCGTCCCTTGATGGATGCGACGATGGAGGCATTGCGGTTGGTTTCTGAGGGATGCGACTCTCGTGTCGGGGATATTGGGAGCGAGTCCAGTGCGACGCGCGATCAAGTCAGCGAACTGACACAATGTTTGAGGGGCATTGTTTTACCGTCACGAGAGGTTCTGATGACTCTCCTCTGGGCCTTGAAGGTCGAGGAGCGGAAGATCCAAAGAAGGAATGACGAAAACCCCCAACTCGAGAGTGGCATCCCAGAATACCAATCATCACACACCAAGACATTTGTCTTGAAGGTATCCGGGATGAAGCGAAGTACTCAATTAGATGGCAGGATGGCCAATAAACGCTCCCGTCTAGCGTAAAATGAATTTTTCTCGTGTGATTGAATTTTTTTTGGGGTAGCGGAGCAGGTAAAGGCGTTAAATATGGTTCCAGGTCCAGGAATGACCTTGTTGAGCCCGGAAATGGCTGTATATTAGGCGAATAAAACGTGTTTGAACTTTTCACACCATTACCATTTCTTCTTTTTCCAGCGTAAGAGTTGAATCCCATCAACGCAATCAATTCCCAATACGGCCCGTGAGACTACCCATAGCAGTAGGGCGACGCGAATAACTCCAGAAACGCCATTCAGACGGATAAAACATATAATATAATATACACCGCAGCTGCTCATTCGAAGCTCCATTACCATATACCATCCATTTCCTGCATAGCAGCCTCCTCATCTGCAAAATCATCATTATTCGCATTTGCCGTTTTCTGCACCGCGTTTCCGTGATCCGCAGTCTCTGCTTCCATAATTAGCGCATCCAGATCGTCCTCGTCGTGAATATCGACCACCTGAGATTTCTGCTTGCTGTCTTGCCCTTCTGACTCGGCAATAAGTGCATCCAGGTCGTCTTCATCGTCTGGTTCGTGCTGCTGCGTACGCGTGATCCTTGGTGTTGCCCCATACAGGTCCTCGTCATCCGGTATGTCGTCCTGTAATGGTGTTTGCGGCCTTGCGTCTTTGGACGATCCAGCCTCAACAGGTTCAACAGAATCGAAGGCATCGAGTGCAGAGTCGACTTCTTCTATTGTATCCTTTGGTTTTGACTCGTTGATCATCTCGGACCTGGCTGTTAGGACGCGTTTCTTGTGTCCTGCCTTTTCCACCATGGCCAGTGCATCGAGAAACTTGGCTTTGGGGAACAAGTCGTCAAGCCACATCTGGTAGAATGATAAGAGGCGAGCTGCGTCTGAGAACTCGTGCCCCTTGCCTTTGATTTTCAATTCGCGTGCTCGTTGGCGAAGTTTGGGCAGTCCGGCGGGACCTAATAATCTGGGCGTGGGTATTAGCTACTTGTCCTCATGTGTCTTGTGGGAGAAATGCGGGCAAATCTATTGAGAGAAAAAGGATGCAGTACCTGTCTTCATCGAGCTTCACGAGCGGAGGTCTTGCGCGTTTCTGGACGGAAACCTCCTCGTCTATACCTAGGCCCTGTGACGGGGGCTCCTTGCGCTTCTTGGCTCGAGGTGAGGGGCTGGGCGATGCGAATGGATCGTCTGATAAGTCGTAGTTGTCCAAATCATCGTGGCGATTGGGCGGTAATTGACCGGCTGAAAGTAATGTCGACATGGTGGTTGGCAGTGAGAAGCAATTCCAGTCTATCACAAATCGTGAAGCCCATCGTCCTCTTTACGCGTCCTCTTCGGGTGGGACACGCGCTTCTTGGGTACCCAATTTGATAGCGGTACGTACCCCCCCATGGGCGAATCACAATCCACGTGATTTGAGTAGTCAGCATCACGTGATCTTTCCTTCCTGAGGCACGACTTTGGCCTCAGAGCTTCGGTACTAGTATCATACTTCCCGGGAACCTTCTTGAGCCAATTGATCGTTTTGGGGGCCCGAAAACTATTCGCAAAATGGCCGAAACCGCGACCAAGCAGGCGCCTTCGACCTATGTCGGGACGAGCAAGGTCGTCCAGACGGATTACCCGGTATGTTGGGACACAATTGATGGTTCAATTTGGAGGATGATGCTAACCGGAATCCAGCTCATCGATAACGACCCGTACGTTTTGGCGCTCCTTTTACCCGAAATCGACCTTGGGAATGTTCAGTGGCCTTGAGATATCGAGGGAATTATCTCGGATCGTCGATACGTCGTTTTCGGGAAAGGGGGGGACATGTGCTAATTTGCGTGAACTAGTCACTTCAAGCGAGTTGTTGGATATGCACGAACGTCCGACTACGTTGCTGGCGGTGCAGCTGCTGCATTTGCCCCCGGCGCCCTCTACGCCCTCGAGAAGTTTGCCCCCTCATACGTCGGTAAGGGCGGTTTTGCCAAAGCTATGCGATTGGCCGGCGCTGTTGGTATTGCTGGCGGTTTCCTCTACTTTTACCAGCGATCATGTCGTACGTTGACCCAAGATGGCACCTATTAGGCAAGTGGATAAGGGATATTTTCATGAAGGCTAACATGGCGGGATGCCAGTGCGATTCTACGGCGCTACCGAAAACGCCCGCGAGATCGAGATGGACATGCGAGAAATGGTGGCCAAGGTCAAGGCGGGCGAGTCCCTGTACGGCGAAAGCAGACTGAGCCCATACCTGCAAGGTGTTGCAGCCCGACAAAGCAGATACTCTGCGCTCTTCTTCAGCACTGTACCGTGGTTCAACTTTGTCAACCATAATCAGCACGGCGTGGACACAGCCAAATACTATCAGCAAGCGGAGCGGGAGTTGGAGACGGAGCGAGCTGCCAAGAGTTCGTAGGCAATGGAAGACGCGGAATTGAAGAGCAAGGGTACGGTCGGTGCGGAGATATAAAGCGGAACGAAATCCAGTCGTCTGTGTATATTAAGCTGGTAAGGGGGACTTGCCTCGACGGCTTGGTAACCTATTTTCTTATACAAGTTTTGAGAACGAGCAGTGGTCGACTCTATTTTGCTTGGGAATGGTGAAGGCCGGGCAGTGAACCACAATGACTGGCTTGCAGATTGCCGATTACTATTATTAACAGTGACTTTGCCTTGCCCCTGACTGATAGTTCGGAGGCTCTTGCTTCCCTTTTTAGGAATATTGGGCAAACTGGAATACAACAAAAGAAAAACCCGTCTCTTACAGTGGTGGCCATTTCCAATTCGCTGACTACAATTGTTCAAAATAGCAATCAAGCATTCGTTGCCACGAGATCAAGCCCACGAATTACAGAGCCAGTAAAGCGGAAAGCGGAAAGCCATGGTTTTGCAGATATATTACTTGGAGCAAGCATCGTGAGTAAACGTTGGCAGGCGAGAACGAATGAGTATAGTCACTACATGCCATGGTAAACAACTACGGAGCAGATCAGCATCGCATGAAGTCTTTTACTTTGGCATTCTTTGTGACTGACATCGAGAAAGAAAGCGGATAATGACAGCTGCGCCTTTGCTTTATAAGGCGGTGGAATGGTCCTGTCCGGGTGAAATGCATCTAACCTAACAGGGTTGCCCAACAAACATCAATTATAAGCGCGATTATGGGACGTGTTGGGCCGGTAACATCTATCTTGTGTTGTAGTATTATTGACGGGAAGGATCCCCATATCTTTCTCCGTACTAACAAGCGTTGTCGACGGCAACTACTTTCCGTGAGCATTGGCCGAGCTGTATCTCCGCATCTGCAGCAAGACGTGGGGAGGCATTAATCCCTTCCTCTGTCATTGTTGGCTCCATCAGGCATCTCGGGTCCTGGACTGCTGTGGCTGCATTGAGACAAACTAGACGTTGCGTGTGAGTACTGTTGGGCAAGTTGCCCTCGCAGCGTACGTTCACCACTGTTGGTCAGCTAACGTGGCGCAAATAGTGTCGCTGTGGAATAGATCTCTGCGCCTAGGTTTAACAGAAGACGCCCCGGACCAACGATTATGAATAGTGCCGACTTATCCACCTACACAGTTGTGGCAGAGGTAGACAATGTATCCGAAATGCGGTCGCGGCTACATGTAGGGACCGCGAATGACCAACCGCGAATCTTATTCTGGTGAGTCAGAACAAACAAACAAACAAACAAGCCCCCACGTTGAAAAGGGTGGTGGCCAGACGGCACAATATGGCTTGGATCAATACTCCGTAGAACAATAGCGTATCCTTTGTTTGTGCCACAATACAGCCTTGTTCTTGTCTGGAGTTGGAACCAACAGCGGCGCCAATACTCTCCAAAGTCTATTTTTAGAAAAGACGCCACCAAGTCCACATATCCCGGAGAGTCCCGAGTGGAAGGAGCCGGCGGCAAGCCGTCATGATTGATATGCCTCCGATTTCCCCTATGTGGTAATAATAGTTTACGAATGTTTTTTTTAACGCCTAGAATCGAGTTGCACAGATAGAGTGAAAGAGGAAGGTTTCCGTTAATGTCACGTCACTCTTAGCAGCGTCTACTCTATAATCCAATAATATTCAGATGCCTTTCTCTTCTGCGCAGATATTAGCTGCATAACAGTGTAGCGCATTTTGTGCATGATTGTTTCTGCTTGATGATAAGTCAACTCCATAGGTTTTACATACATCTATAACTTCTGCTATTGTTTGAATACACCCATAACGGTAAGTAATATAAAGGGCATTTTGACTATCCGCGTCAGCGATGGTGAGATGATAGCGCAAGGCCAACAGGGAGACGGATGCAATATTGCCAGCCTCGCATGCAAGATGCAGAGGCGTCTTGTTATTGGAGCGTCGGCTTAAAAAGAAAGCCTTCTATTTAAGTAACCTTTTAATAAACTGACTTGATCTATATTCTCTATTTTAAACTTTATGTAAAGCAGATTCTCCGTTAGAATTTTTACTGTTGATGTTAGTCTTGCCATTCCCAAGCAGTGCTTTTAGCACTGCAAGGCAATTATTTAAAATGGTCTCTTGTGTTACCTCGTAATTGTCCTCTAGATCTGAGTGATCTAATATTAATTTAACTCTCTAATCGTAATCTGTTTAATGATCCTCTATTTTCTTGCCTTGCAAGGCTTTCGCAAGCGTTAAATGGAGAGGCGTCTTGTTAAATTCAGAGAGTGCATTTAGGTTCGCTTTATGCTATAAGAAGAACCTCACCATCTTCTTTTGCCTAACTAAGGCGGCGTAATGCATAGGAGTCAGTCCCCGCCTAATTATGTTGGGAAATAATGACGCCGTGAGGTCTTCTTCGCATTTGCTCTTATCGCCATTAAAAGTGCGTGTCGTAAAAGAAACGTGCAGTAAAAGAAGCGTGCAGTAAACTCATCTACAGTATTGGCTTGTGCATCTCTTGAATCGTAAGCACGGTTTTATGCAGCCTCCTTTCCCACTCGGGATACAATGCGTGGTACCACGATGAAAATCCTCCGGCCCAGAAGCCCGACAAACGCTGCGAGACTGATAGCGTCCAATATGGCCTCGTTTTCCCCTATTACCCACGTTCACAATCGGGCCAGGGCATTATATGCCAAGGCCGCAGAGAGAGTGAGCGGAAATATGAAGTGTGCGAGGACATATCATATTCAGGCCCCTTATAGATGTTTATGCAGGGATAGCGTAAAGGCTATCTATCGATGGTCGCGCCTTGGCCAGCTCTTGAAGGCCGCCTTACCACAAACTTGGCGCTTGATGAATTAAAACTACGGGAGTAGTGCCTTTATAAATATCATAAAGGCTGTTCAGCTAGGCAGGTGAGCAAAGGCAAGTGGAGGCAATATAACAAGGGCTAGGAACTAATTAGACAATAAGGGCTCTAGTACATTAAATGCATAGAAATCAGCTTATACGACGGAGTAGACATACCAATAACCTAAGAGATATAAATTGCTACATCGCACCTATCACTGCGATGCTTGGTCTGCTAACACGGCCCTGTCCTGTCGCCCAAAGAGGCCTCTTTTAAGCTTTTTATATATTACACCAACTTCATGGGATGAGCAGGCCGTGCTTCAGCTGCTGCGGACACTGGCGGCAGGTCGGTCAAGGCATTAAAGAACGACTCAAAGGAACCAATCAGTGTTGAGAGAGGGTGTCGGGCATGAGGTAAACAACCGCCGATACCTGGGCTTTTCTGCCAAGGCCCTCCAGGGACGTCAGTGGTCTCTCGGGAGAGAGATAAAAATCCGTGTTCGTGTCCGTGTTAGTCCAACATGGCTGCCAAGATGAGTATAGAGTACATATAGACCGACGATGCGCCACACGGACATGCTCATCACTACAGCTCATGGCAAAGAAGTTGGCTGGGCAGATTCTCACCACGCCGGCCGCTGCAAGTTTTGATGGTAACGGAGACGCGACAAGTACGACTCGGTACGTGTACGTAGTTGTTTGTCTTCCATTAGAGCGGTTGCCTCTACTCAACAGCTACCCAAGTAGTATGAGAAAGTCATGTCGTGTGGAGACAAAACATGTTGCTGCGAGAAACAAGACGCATAACACGGTAATTTCGTTTTGGCCTGTACCCACGGAGTATTCCGTGATGCAATGAGCCATGCCCAACACCCCGCTGTTGGTAGGACAAGCGGATCATATGTATGCACCGCTACGGAGCAGTAGAGCTAGTATTTGGCCAAAGAAGGTTATATTAGACACAAGAAATAATGGCAAGGGTGAGAACTTGGCCAAGAAGCGTACTTACTTGGCAAGATGTCTTGTCACCTCTGCGGTCTGCGTGGTCAATCAAGTGTGGGAGCCTCATGGGACAATGCTGGACCCCTACGGAGGATTGAACGCTCAGGGAAGCCCATATACGGCGTCCAAGACTGAGGAACTCGACGGAATGATAGATTGCCTGGCCCACGGATACTTGAGGTTTTATCTGATGGTACTACCGAGGACTCGGAAACAAGCGCTTGCTCCGTGCTGGTAGTGTCTTTGAGCAAACGAAGTGACGTGCCAAGGCTCGTCCAATGATACAAGACAGGGCGCAGTCGAATATAGAAGAGAAAAACACGTGGCATGACGTGTCAACATGGACATGGATAGAAGTGCTGGGCCCAATAGTCGGTCCCAAGGAGGGCCATGGATGACAGGTTTTGGCACATAACATGACTGAGGCGTGTCGTTGATTGGTGTCGAGTCGCGTTGTACGGAATATAGAGGGTACCAACGTACTATACTAGTGGCTTGGCCACGTCCATATTTTTCATTTATTGAGGTGATGTATTATTTTTGGTGCAACAATTCGAGTTTCCCGGCTGCCCGACTCCATTAGAGCATGCCTGGGCATTTGAGTTAACTCATGAGTTTCGGCCCTCTTAACTCACTTATATGAGTTACTGTCAAGTCATAACTTACTTATGAGTTTAACCTAGACTTATGAGTTAACTCATAAAAATGGTTACGTGATGTTATGAAGCACTTGGTAAGTGATTTTATTCATAAATATAGATAAAGTTATGGATAGAAAGGTTACTTACTTATTGTAATGAACCTTTTGGCCTGTTGAAAAGTGTTAATAGGGCAGATGACCGCTGGTTTCTGGGTATAATAGAAAGTCCAGCGTGAGAAGCCTCATATTATTGTAGGGGTCTGAGAGATTGGAGCCTAAAAATGAACTAATGACATGCCATGAACTGTGCACGTGGGTATCAGTTAATGAGTTGACTCAAAACGCCCAGGTATGGACTCCATATTCAGCTCAAGGGTCTCCTAAACAATGACTTGGAATCTTGCACAACTGGGTTAGGGGAGGTCGAATGCGAGTCAGGCTATTCCTCCTTGGACAAGCCAAGTGACGCCATTAAGATACATCCGGCGTCGCAATGACCAAGTTGCATGAAGAATCCGATTCAGGTCAATCCACTCGAGACCCTTGTCCTCGCATGAATGCCAGAATGAAGCGGCCACTCGAAAACAAGGAATCCCCGCCGAAACAACGGCAGCGCCGACAAAGGGCATGGCTCGGCGTGATTTGGCTGTTTATGCGCACATACAACAAGCGGCCATGGGCGCAAAATACCAATTTCATCGTCATCAAGCGCCAGAGACAAAAAACTTGCTCGGCTATTTTCCGCTGGTCAGGCGGATGGAGTGTGGCTAATTTTACGGCCATTATGCATACATGCCACGAAGCCGTGTGGATTATGGATGCCATATTCTAGAATCCTGTATTGCGTATTGTGCGGACCCTGACCTTGATGCTGTGCGTCGTCCTCTTCTTTTTATAAGATGCTTCACGAGCCTCATCTCATGTCTGCCTGTTTTCTTTTTGCTGCTACATGGACCAACATTCCATAATAATCTAATACTCGTTGTAATTGCTTTGCCTTTTGTTACATATCAAAACCACCACGCTCGCTACAAGTTGACATCTTTTGTTTTTATATATACATCTCCAGCCATGAAATCTTTTGTCACGGCCGTTGCGGCTGCCTCCCTCGTCGGGATGGGCATGGCCCAGACGAGCCCACGACCCAAGCTGCCCGAACAGCTTGGAAACATCGAGCGCATTCCAACCGAGCAACAGCTCCAAGGTATCGACCCCAAGGATGGCCTTGATGCCTGCCACAAGATCGACTCCATCACCTCGGATGGCTGGCAGTGGCCGTGTGGTATGCAGCGCAGTTTCGGGCCGCAGCGCTGCGTCCTGAAGGGAGAGACCGACGCTGCCAGAAAGGACCAGCAGAGATGCATCTGCGAGTCGAGCACCTTCTTCAAAGATGCCGATGCCTGCTTAGACTGCAAGGTGCGCCATGCCTTGATCGGAGATGAGCAAGACGAATACTACCAACAGCTCTTCGCCAAGCTCCAGGAGACGTACTGCAAAGCCGAGGTGGTGGACAAGAACCTTGGGGATTACTACAACGAGGCCGAGGCCCTCGTCCGACAGGCCGCCCCGTACAACGGAAAAACGCCAGGTTTCACGGTTCCCTCCAACAAGGTCGAACGTCAGGGACACTCGGCTCATCCCAGAGACTACTACAGCCGAGTTGGCGCGCCCGAGAAGCAGGGCGAGATCAACTTCAAGCCCAGCCCCGAGGTCGAGAAGCTGCCTGCCGTCAACGAGACCGTTGTCAACCAAATCCCCGATCCCGTCAACGTCCCCGTCATGGTCATCGTCGCTCTGGACAACAGCACCGCAGCGCAGACGTCCGTCGTGGCCGCAACCACGACTGCTGGCAAGCCATTGCAGCCCACTACCTTGGTCCGCGTCACCAGCATGAACTCTACCACGCGAGCCACGCCATCTGCCGCTGTCCCTTCGTCCATCTCTACTGATGTCCCTTCGTCCATCCCCGCCGATGTCCAGGGCCAACTCGTCCAGATTGATGGCAAGCTCTGCCTGGTCTACGTCTACTTTGCCGCAGTCGATTGTGTGTACAAGCAGAGCCCCGACGGCAAGACTACCTTTTATCAGTACAGAAAGGAAATCAACTGGTTCTATGGCTTCCAGATCTCGTCAAACAAGCAGTTTGATCTGCTCAAGGAGGTCGCCGACGCCTGCCCTGACGGAAACTGCAAGGAGCAAGCCACTGCCATTGCCAAGTCTAAGAAGGTTGCTGTCAAGGAAGTCGTCAAGAAGGAGACTGTAGTCCCCGGCAAGCCTCAGCAGCTCCCGCCTCCTGAGAAGCCCACTACTGGTGGTAACTCTGGTGATTCTGGCCACGACGCTCCCGTCTCCGGCAATGGCGCTCCTGTCCAGCAGGACGACGGTGGCTGCGGCCCCGAAGATTCCAACGACACCCCTGATAATACTCCTGCTCAGGGACGTCCTGGTTCTCCCGCCCAGGGCAACACCAAGCCTTCTGGTCCTGTCACTCCCCAGCAGGATACTCCCTCTGGTCCTGCTGGCTCTTGCAATGGACCCCAGTGCAGTCCTGTCGTTCCTCAGAAGGACACTCCCTCTGATTCTGGCTCTCCCCAGAAGGACACTACCCCTGGTTCTTCCGGTGCCCCCCAGAAGGAGACCACTGGTTCTGTCAGCTCTTGCAATGGACCCCAGTGTAGCCCCGTCGTTCCCCAGAAGGATACTCCCTCTGTTTCTGGTTCCCCCCAGCAGAATACTCCCTCTGGTCCTTCTGGCTCTCCCCAGAACGGCACTCCCCAGAAGGAGACTCCCTCTGGTCCTACCGGCTCTTCTGGCCCTCAGTCCCAGTGCGCCCCTTGCGCTGATGAACGTAAAGATGGAACTGAAATCTGCAGAAAGAAGGAGGAAACCGAGGGCTTTTGCAACAAACAGACTGGAACTGCCAAGCGCGACTGCATCTGTTCAAAGGGAAGTTTCGGAAACAAGTTCTTCTTCAATGAGGCCATTACCTGCGCACGACGATCCGCCAACTGCCTGTTTGGCGAATTCGAGGCGCAGGCCTTATTCGAAGCCCATTTCCAGTACTGCCAGGAGAACAAGCACGATAGCATCAGTGCTGCTCTGGAAAGCGTGAAGAACGTGTGGTCTGCAAGGGCCCCACGACAGGATCTCATGTAAATTCGACGTCTTGTAATAGATTTTGTACTGGGAAGCGTCTTGTGGGCTGATGAAAACGTGAATCCCCCTGTTAAGATGGCTTTTATTAGTCCCAAGGCACTTATAATTTTATAGTTATAAATTTATTATTGTTCAACAGCATGCGGAATCAATTATCAAGTCTACTTTGTATTAGTGTAGAAATTAAATTCTAGGGATATTAAGCAATAATTAGTTTAAGAATAATGTAATATTTAAGTAAAATATAGGCTTTACATAAAGTATTACTTCCGTTACGTAAAACTAGTATATTCTATTTATAACTAGTATTATATAAGTAAATATAAATTATATAATAAACAAAATATTATACTACCCCTTGCACGTTAAAGCTA